ACCCCCCTCGAATTCAATTATGAAGATTCTTTTAGAAGTCACGTACAGACAAGATATACCTTCAACACACCCTATAGTTCTAAATACATAACATGTCTCGTAGTATGCTTTTGCGCCATAATAAATTAAAATAAACAGTAATTTGAACCTCCAAAACAGAAGGTTCTTATGATTATTTTGTTACTATTGTTTGTATTCTTGATAATTTCATGATAACGAAATTCCAGTGTTGGTTTGCTGCTTTTTTCCATGTTTGTAATATTGCTTGCAGTGGAAATGCTACTGTTTTCATTGTTGTATATTATGCCATATGATATACATGTGTATACAGTTTTACAAACAACGATGTCCTTACGTGTGCTGCCACACCGAGTATCCACGTCCTGCTCAGACAACGCCGGCTTCGCTGGCAAGGACACGTTCACAGAGTACAGGATGAAGAAATCCCAAGAGATATCCTTATGAACAGCCAAAGACAGGAACGATAGTTCACGTTCGGCCCCAACTTGATCTCTTCACAATGGCCGTCGACATTAATTTATGTAGACAGTTGGAAGGACTCCGGTTCGCTCATCCTGGAGACAGATGCTAAATCGCTGTGTACGCAGAACATAACTGCAAATAATAACGTCCGACGAACGCTGGGAAAAGCGTAAAAAATAGCCGTCAGATTCCTACTCAGGGTCGAGATCCGCCTCTTTGTGGTCTAAATTATGGTGATTCGGACGTTAAAACGCCTACATTTAAACCAAACCAAAAAAAAACAACCAAAAAACCTGCTGGATGATGTAAGAGCGTGCAAGTTAGAACTTCTTACTTTGACAAACCGATGCTTAGGCGCATGCTTTTGGTGTCTGTTATTCAACGCTTTTTAAAAACTTTATTTAACATGCCCTGTTCTGTGTCTGCAAAACTGCAAAAGTAAACTACGACATGTGCGTTCCCAATAAATATATTTGTGGCATCGTGGTGAAATCAGGCTCTCGTTAAATTTTTGGGCACACAGAGTTATTGGTATTGTCTTAAAGCTTGTTCCCTTGTCTTTATGTGGATTAAAAAAATATCCGTTTATCTTAAATACAAGTCGAGATATTTGAGAATGAAAGAGGTGGGGGTCACCTGTTTTCAGAGGTAAACTTAGTGAGAAAATGGCTGAAAAAGGTTAGTTATTTCCTTAGCTTAAGAGTCCGTGGTAACTGAAAAGTTGTATCTTTTGAGCCTTTAATCAACGTTTTTCAGTAAAATCCACACAGAAGTGAGTTCTTTAATGGCCATAAAAGGTGACGGGCCCAAAAAGAAAAATTTGATAAAAAATCACAAACCTGCGGAAAAATGCAAGTTTTTTCACTTTGATTATTTTGACGAGAGCCTGATTCCACCACGCTGCCTCGCATATATCTGTGGCATCGTGGTGAAATCAGGCTCTCGTTAAAATAATGAAATCGAAGAAACGGGCTTTTTTCCTTCCATTTGGGCAATTTTTATAAAGGTCTATTTGTTTGGGTTTTTAGGGAGGCTGTTGTTTTGGGTTCAATACCTTTTAAGTCCATTTGAGTACTCATTTTTGTGTGAATTTTTATGAAAAAACGTTGACCAAAAATTAGAATTCGCTGTTTTCCAAGGACACTAAGCTTGGAAGTCACCAAATGTTGGCGGCCATCTTCTCGCTAATTTTATCTCTCACACATGGAGACCAACCTCCTTCACTCGCAATTAATATATCCAAACTATTAAATTAATATAGATGAGTATTACATTGTATTTTCATCAAAAGCAAAATAAATTAACAAGTTTTAAGATGATACTAATTACTCCGTATGCCCTAGGAATTGATGAGCGCCTGATTCCACCTGTCTCGAGACATTCTTTGCAAAGGAAAAAGCTGACATTATTAGTTGAAATGAGTGAGCAAGGTTTCTGTCTGTCTTCCAATAAGCTTCCATTATTTTGCAAGTCAGATAGTCTCGACTTTAATACATTACGACATGTGATTAATTCCAATGCAAGTGTTCTTTGGATGATGCATTTGCGAATAATGTTTATGTTGTGCGTATGCTCGAGAGCTGTCGTGAGCAATCCACGAATGCTATTAATTTTGTTAATGTGTGTTTTGTTGTGTTATCCTGTAATCTTTTTCTGGGTCGTGTATGTTTGTGTGTGTATGTGTGTGTGTGTGTGTG